GCATCGGCAGGCGGACTCTCAACCACTGTGCCACCAGGGAAGCCCCAGCTTCCTTTTTTAATTTTCATCTTTCATCTGGTATCACTATTCTTCTCTCTCTCCACTACTGCAAATATTTGGTTGATTTTTTTCTTTTGAAATGTATCTTATATCTGTGTTAGTTCTTGTCATTGTATTTTCATGACTTTTACCCTAATGCAGGCCTTCATCCACTCATGCCAGGATTACTCCCACAGTTTCTATCTGGCCTCTTTTTGGTTCTAATCTCTCCTCTCTCAAAGCCATTTCCACCATAGCTGCCCTAGTAACTTTTTAAATGTTTATTTCTTGTTTTAATAAACTTTTTATTTTGGGAATAATTTTGCATTTACAGAAAAGTTGCAAAAATAGTACCTTCACCTAGTTTCTCCAGATATTAACATCTTACATAACCATGGCTCATTTGTCAAAATTAAGAAATTAACAGTGGTACACGACTGTTAACTAAAATCCAGACTTTATTTGGTTTTTGCCAGATTTTTCGCTACTCTGCTTTTTCTATTCCAGGATGCCATATTGCCATTTAGCATATTTCTATTTTTAAAGAGCTAATACCAGCTTGGGTAAAAATTCAAAAAGGACAAAAAGATGCATAAGCCTCCTTCCACCTCTGAATCACAGCTATCCAGTCCCGTCCCTAGAGAGAACCCACTGTTTCTGGATTCTTGGTTATTCTTCCAGAGAGATTTTCTGTGTATACACTCTCTCTCAAACACACACACACAAATAGTTGCATTCTAAATATAGTGCTCTGTACTTTACATTTTTAAACTTAATACAGCTTGATCATTCTTTATCAGTAACACAAACTTGCCTTGTTTTCTTATTCCAGTATTCCATTGGATATCTGCACTGTAATTTACCAGTTCCCTGCTCATTGACATTTTTAACTTTTGCAAACAAAGCTACAGTGAATAGTCGGACATAAATCATTTTTTATATGTATGTTTTTAGTTATTGCTGGGTCAAAGGGGATATATATTCATAATTTGATTGCCAATTTGCTTTTCAGAGGTTCTACCAATTTATCCTCCATTATTTCCCTGTAACTTCACCAACATTGTGTCTCATGTGACTTTGAACTTTGCCAATTTAATAGGTTAAAATGTTGTCATTGTACTTTTAATTTACATTTCTCTTATAGTGAGTAAGGTGGAGAGTCTTTTCATATATTTAAGAGCCATTTATATTTCTTCTTCTGTGAACTGTCCATATAACTTTGCCCATTTTTCAATTTGGTTATTAATGTACTCATTTTATTTTCTTTCCTTAAAATCTTTCAATTTCACCTATTTCCTGATATATTAAGTTAAAATCCTAGTTCCCTTTTCAAGACTTTACGTTGTATGTTAAAACCCTAGTTTCGGGCTTCCCTGGTGGCGCAGTGGTTGAGAGTCTGCCTGCCGATGCAGGGGATGTGGGTTCGTGCCCCAGTCCGGGAAGATGCCACATGCTGCGGAGCGGCTGGGTCCGTGAGCCATGGCCGCTGAGCCTGCGCATCCGGAGCCTGTGCTCCGCAACAGGAGAGGCCACAACAGTGAGAGGCCCGCGTACCGCAAAAAAAAAAAAAAAACCCTAGTTTCACACTACTTTCCAACAACTACTGCTGCTCTGATCAGTCTGCTTTTTATACTCTCCCAAGGGCACACAGCACTCGTTCCTTCCGCCATGCCTTCTTTCATAGTGTTCCCCCATTTCCTCCCTCCACTATATCTCCACTTTGAGACAGAGATTTTTGTCACTTCCTACAACTGGGAAAAATTTCGTTTAATTTCAAGTAGACTTCTAGAAAGAATAATTAACTGATAGTTTATAAACTCTTAAAAAAGAAAATGATAATCACTAAGAGACAGCACTGACAAACAAAACATAACAACTGCTCACATCACAGTAACCACATCTCCATTTCCAGTAGAGTTCTAGTGGATTGGTATGCTGTAGACATATCTTTATTTATTAAGGCATTTTATTCTCCTGATACATTTGAGAAGTTAAAAAACAGTATAAGCTACATGAGAGTGTTTTTGTAGCTGATCAAACTTGTGTACCCAAAGAGTATTGACTCGTGGACCAATGTCAAACTGAAGATCTCTAATAGCAGGACTCTGTTCTCTGTGTCAGAACTCTGTTCTTGATCTTGACTGCTCAGTGTTTATTTACTAATAACTTGGTGAATACATGGAAATTAAATCAATGCAGTTAGGCTTAAAAATATTTCCAGTGACATAGTACAGAGGCATGATTCAAAATTATCTTAATATTGGAAAGATGGGCTAAAACCAATAAGATGAAATTTAAAAGGACTGAATATACAGCTCTGCATTTAATCTCCAATATTAGCTGAAAAAAGCGAATGAGGCACCTGATTTGATGTAGTTTGTGTGACAAAAACTTGAGTCCACTAACTTAAGAGCATAATGCATTAAAAATCTAAAACAGTCTTGAGTTGCATTTATAAAATTATAGTATCTTGATGGTTCCACAATTATTTTTTTTCTTTATCAGACTTCATTTGGAGTGTTCTATCAGTTCTGGGTGTTATGTTTTCAAAGAGACATTTTGAAATTAAAGTACCTATATTATATTTCTATCACTGCTATAAAAAAATTATCACAAACTTAGTGGCTTAAAACAACACAAATTTATTATTTTACAGTTCTGTAGGTCAAAAATCCAATGTGGGTCTCACTAGGCTAAAACCAAGGTGTTATCAGGGCCATGTCCCTTTCTGGAGGCTCTAGAAGAGAATGTGTTTCCTTCCCTTTTTCAGCATCTAGTGGCCCCCTTCCTCCATCTTCAAAGCCAGTAAGAGCAAGTCAGGTCCTCACATTGCCCCTCTCTTACCACAGCTGGGAAAGATTAGACGCCATCTCGATAATCTCCCCATCACAAAGTTCTTAATTGCATCTACAGAGTCCCCTTTGCTGTGGAAGGTAACATAGTCGCAGATCTGATGGTTAGTGTGTGGACATCTGTGGAGGAGGTCATTATTCTGCCTACTGCAGTGCTTATTGCAGAGGATCACCAGGATAGTGAAGGGGCTAAACTGGATACAGAGAATCAGACTAAGACAAATTGAAGATGATCCCAAAATGTATTGCTTAGGAGAGAATGCGATAATGTTTATAAAGTGATTAGTAAGTACATAATAAATGGTTTCTGCTTCAAAGGCTAATGCTACAAATTATAGAAATATAGTAGCTCAGAGGGAAAGAAGCTTAGGGATGTGGAAGGGGATGAAGCAGCATAACATTTTATCTTGTGAAGAACAGAATTTGGGATCCAAGTTTTCACTTTACGTTAGATCAGCAAGTAGTTTCAATGTCAGAAAGCACTAAGTTTAACAAGAACTTTGCATTGTTTCCCTAACTAGTGAAAGAGTTGAGGTGAATGGAGGTGATGGACTATACAGTAGTTGAGACGCAACTTTCTGGCCTCTTTCTGCCGTGACTGCACAATGTATGCACTCTGAGGAGGAGGGAAAACTTTTATCGAAGGAAGAAAGCAAGATTTTTGAATCTCAGAGGACTACTGTATTGGTTTGTTTGTTTGATTTTTCTAGGAAGGAAATCCCCTCTGAAACCAAAACCCAGCCATTAGAGATTATGAGATTTTTCAGGCTTTCTCTATAATCTTTCTTACATTTGTCTCTTTAAACATGTCCAACTCCCCCTTTGAGAAGTTGCTGATAGGTGGTTATCATGCAGGATTTAAATTAACAAACCCTCCCACCGCATTGGGTGGTAGCTTCCAAGGCGCCATGGTAAATGTGTATCAGTGTGAACCTGATCCAGAACCAGCCAGGAAGGGAACAAAGTTTAGTCTATGAGGAAGTAGGCGGCTGCTGGTAGTTTCATGCTGTCTCTGCAGACTTCAGGTTGCTGTGGTGTAAGTTTTTTTTTTTTTTAATATTTTAATATTTGAATATGAAAGCATGGTAGGAACAATTTCTATCTAATATTAAATTAAGGTACTAAATCTTGTGTACTAGACATACTTACAAGAAAGTTTCAGCGTTTCACAAGTAGTTTGATTTTTTTTAATGAAAAGGAAAGCCCTAAAGCTTTTTCAGCAAGTGTTCTGCTAACACAGGTCCTCCTGCTTGCATGAGATGACTTTTAATGTCTTGTCTTTGGTTGAGTTAAGGTGCTTATGGTCAGAAAATAAAAGTGCTTGTATGTATATCTGGTGCCCTGAGACTTATTATTTCTGAGTAGTGCTTAAATTTTCTCCCTGATGTTCTTTCCAGTTGCTTTCCCTTTAGTTTAGGCTCATGTTACAAGATTATGTTAGCAAATATTAGGAGTCTCTCAGGTAGTTAAACTGGAGGTTTTGATGTTCAAAGAAATCGAATGAATGAGAACTAAGTAGAACTAACATAACCAGTTGTTGGGATCCTAGATTTAAGAGCAGCAGAATAAGAGGAGGAACTTCGTGAAATGGATGGAAATGGCAAGCAGCCTTAGAAATTTCATGCAACTTTGGAGAAATCTGTTTTTAAGATTTTGACATGTGTACTAATTTTCCGGACTAAATTCCCCATACTATAGTGTGTAAAATAAATTTCATATATGAAATTAAAATTGCTGTAGTTCAGCTGCTATAGTTCTGTGTTGATATTAGGATTCCAGGAACTACATGTTGTTATACAAACATTGACTTTATTGAGTGCAGCTATGAGAGTGTTAAGATTGCATTTGGTGCTGGCGAGGTTGATATTTTCTATTTCCCTTTTGTCACGATGTATTTGAAAAAAAATATCCTGGTACTCGACAAGTGTATGACTTTGAACATAGAAAAAGTTTGATGCGGTTAATGTATTATATAAAAATTATAAAGGCTGGCTGTGGGCCAGTAGCCTTTCAAATCATTCAGAAAGTACTGAGGAGACAGATTGTTTATATGGAAGTACAGTTTTCCCTTTCCTCTAGCTTCATCTCAGACCTTAGGGACATTGGGTCTATTTCTCTAGCCTGCCTCTTATTCCTGCTGGACTGAGCGGGAGCCCAGATGATGGAATTGGGACCCAACCGACCCTTGGTGGGATGGAAGACCAAGACACACTGTCCTAAGCAGGCTCTAGGGCTATAATAAAGTGAAACCTTGGCTCATCCTTTAGATTGCTGAACTGCAATGATTCTAGGTTCCTGAGCTGATTAACTTCCCCAGCTCTATTAATAGCCACTGCTGGGCCAGGTTACTTAGTTATCGGTTCATGGCGGGGGGAGAGGGTTCGGTATCCTGGGAGAGGAGCCAGCATGGCAGGTGACACTATTACCAGGGAAGCAGTTATTTTCTGACCATATTTGAAATATTTCAGTCGTTTAACAACCTGAAAGGCCATACAGGTGTGCCCTGGCCAAATCTTAATGAAGACCCTTCTAGATTTTTTTTAAAACCTCCAATAGTTGTCTCTAACACCCAAACCCTTGCACATGTCCCACAAAGCCCATATGATCTGCCTTCTGACCGTCTGTTTAACATCATTGCCTGCCTTGTTCTCCTCACACAGTTTGCTCCAGCTGTATAAATGTTTTTGCTGTTTCTGCAACACATCAAACTGCCTCAAGGCTTTTGCTGCCTGGAAAGCTTTCCCTTACATTGTTTCTTCTTTCCCTTCATTCAGATCTCTACTCAAATGCCTCCTCTTCAGAAGTACCACCACCTCACTTTCACTACATCGCTCCTTTTTCCTTTACCCTGATTGACGTTTTCTTAAATAGCTACCTGGCATAATTTCTTTTATTCAGTAAAATATATATAGTCTTTCCCACTAGAATGTAAGTTCTATGAGGGCAAGAACTCTATCTTGTTCAGTGCTGTATTGCAAAATAGTGCCTACTTGACATATAGTAGATACTTGGTAAACATTTGTTTTATGAATCATTTAATGTCAGTTGGTGCCATTAAATTTATTTCTAAGCATAGGAATTTTAATTGAACTTTTTGAATAGGTGATATAAGTCACATGGTTCCAAGACCAAAACATATAAAAAAGTATATTTTGAAAAGTCTTTCCACCCCAGTCCCCTACCTATTCGGTTCCTGTTCAGGGCCCCCAAATCATTATTATTTTTTTTATTTACTTATTATTATTATCAATATTACTCTATTTTATTATTATCCTTTTCATGTATCTAGAGTTTCTTTATATGTCAAGGAAATATAAAAGTATAAACAGATTCCTACTTCCCTCCTTTTTTATACATACTATTATATATATTCTTAATTTTTTCACATATCTTGAACCTATTTCCATATCATACATAGTGAGTATTCTCATTTTAAAATAGCTGCATAGTATTCCATTGTATAGATATAACTTATTTGACCAGTCATCCAGTAATGGGCATTTTGATTATTTCCAGTATCTTTCTTTTGCAAACAATGCTGAAGTTCACAATCTTGTGCCTATATCATCTCATATATTCATACAGTATATCTGAATGATTAAATTCACCAGAGTAGAATTGCTGGATCAAAAGGTGTCATAGTTATTGCCTAATTGTGCTCCATAGGGATTGTACCAATTTGTACTCCCCCAGCAATGAACATGTAAGAGAGTGCTATCAGACTTGGATTTTTGCCCATCTGATAGCTTAAAAAATGGTTTCAGAATAGTTTTTTTAAGAATTTATAATAAAATTTGTGTTAAGGTTTTAAAAATAGTTTTTAAATTTTAAATTGTGATATAAAAAATAATGTAAGATTTATCATTGCAACCATTTTTTAAAATTTATTTATTCATTTTTGGCTGCATTGGGTCTTCGTTGCTGCACTCAGGCTTTCTCTAGTTGTGGCAAGCAGGCTTCTCATTGTGGTGGCTTCTCTTGTTGCAGAGCACGGGCTCTAGGCGCGTGGGCTTCAGTAGTTGTGGCATGCGGCTCAGTAGTTGTGGCTCTCAGGCTCTAGAGCACAGGCTCAGTAGTTGTGGCGCACAGGATTAGTTGCGTCGTGTCATGTGGGATCTTCCCGGACCAGGGCTCGAACCCATGTCCCCTACATTGGCAGGCGGATTCTTAACCACTGCGCCACCAGGGAAGTCCGCAACCATTTTTTAAGTGTACAATTCAGTAGTGTTAAGCATTATTAACATTGTTATGAAACAGATCTCCAGAACTTTTTCATCTTGTAAAATTGAAACTCTTTACCTATTACATGACAATTCTCCATTTCCCCCTCCCCCATTTCCTAGCAACCACCATTCTACTTTCTGTTTCTATGAATTTGACTAATATAGATACCTTATATAAGTGAAATCATACAGTTTTTTGTCTTTTTTGTGAGGCTTGTTTCACCTAGGATAAAGTCCTCAAGGTTCATCCATGTTGTAGCATATGACAGGATTTCCTTTTTAAGGATGAATAATATTCCGTTGTGTTGTAGATATCACATTTTGTTTATCCATTTATCCATCTATAGATATTTGGTTTGCTTCTACCTCTTGGGTACTGTGAATAATGCTGCTATGAACATGAGTATGCGGATAACTCCTTGAGGTTCTGCTTTCAGTTTTTTTTGATAAACCTAGAAGTGGGATTGCTGAATCATATGGTAATTCTATTTTCATTTTTTGAGAAACCACTATGCTGTTTTCATACTGCACCATTTTAGCATAGTTTTAATTTGCATTTCTCTCATTTTGTATGGGGTTGACATCTTCTCATATTTAAAAGAAACTTGCCTTTTTTTTTTTTCTATGAACAGTTTGTATCTTTGCCCTTAATGGGATTTTTTTCTATTACTAATTTGAAAAATTTTTTGCTTTTGTGCCTCTGAGTCTTCCAAATTTAGAAGCTAGTAGTCATAAGTACGGGTTTGGAGCAAGACTGCCTAGGTTTGAATTCTAGATCGGTTAATAGATGTGCAATATTGATTGGGCAAGTTGCTGAAAATTTCTGAGCCTTAGTTTTCTTATCTGTAAAATAGGAATATCACTGAGTTGTTATGAAGGTTAAATGAGATGATGTATATTATGTGCTTAGTATAGGGCTACTGTGTTAAGGCAAGAAAAGGGGATAAAAGGCCAAGTTTCAGGAAGGAGGCAAAACTGGCGTGATTCACACACGGAAAGATTGTATACATAGAAAACCCTGTAGGAGCTATAAAAAGCTATTTGAACTAATTAATAAATTTATCCAGGCCATAGGTTATAGTCAATATAAAAAATTTATTTGAAATAATTAGAATAGCTAAAACAATTAGAAACTAAATAAAAATATCATCATTAAAATACCAAATACATAGAAATAAACTTTGAAAAACACACAAGACCTCTCTACTGAGAACTACAAAACATTGCTGGGAAAAATTAAAGATCAAAATTAAAAGTACAGTATATATACAGTTGACCCTTGAACAATGCGGGCATTAGTGGTGCTGATGACCCTCGTGCAGTTGAAAATTTGCAGTAATTTATAGTCTGCCCTCCATATACACAGTTCCTCCCTCTGGGTTCCAAATTTGCAGATTCAACCAACCTCAGATCATGTAGTACCGTACAGTGTACTATTGAAAAAAATCTAAGTGGACCCATGCAGTTCAAACCTGTATTGTTCAAGGGTCAACCATACCATGATCATGGATTATAGAACTCAAAACTGTTGAGATGCCAATTCTCCCTTAATTAATGTATAGATCCAATACAAGCTCTATCAGAATTCTAGCAGGCATTTTTGAAGAAATTTTCAAGCTGATTCTAAAATTTATTTGGAAACGCAATGAATATAGAAGAGCTAAAACAATCTTGAAAAGAAACAACAAGGTGGAAGATTTATAATATGTGATTTCAAGACTTTAAAGCCACAGTTAATCAAGTATTGCCCTAAGCATAGATAAATAATATCAATGGGACACAATATTGCGTCCAGAAATCGGTCACACATATA